ACTGCTGGGTGGCTTTCATCAAGCTCACAACTACATGAAAGCAGCTTGCAAGATCATCAGGGAGGCAGGCGCAGAAGATCTTCTCGTTGCAGCTGGTCTATGCCAGGAAGGGACTGCCAAAAAGATATTTGGTGAGAAAGCTGACTACTACCAGACCATACATGCCCTCAGAATCCTGAGCGAAGCTATGTGGCGCCTGTACTGGGAAGCATTCGAGGCATGGGCAGCAGATAGAGAAACAGATTACTGGCAGCCACAGGTGGAATCTGTCTTGAAGATGTAGTTTGAAAAAGACATCACTGCCACTCAGAAGTTAGAGATGATTCAGAAGTCCCATAAACAGTTAGCAGCCCTGCAGGAACAGATGATGCTTTTCCAAGAATCACTGGTTGAGCAACCACAGCAATTCTCTGGTTCATCTTCCTGGATATGTCAGACATTCTTCACAGGTTTATCTACTACCAGCGAGAAGCTGACTGGGTAGGAAATCTCTCTGAATCATTACGAATGCTACCTTACCTCACAGCAGCAGGGCACTACAAATATGGGCAGCAGTCTTTCCCTCTATCTGGCTGAGATGAAGAAACTACCTGAAACAGCCCCAGATGTACATGAAGCACTAATAGCAGGTGCATTTGTCGGGAGGAGAGCAGATGGCAAGCCCAATAGTATCTCTCCTGACATGCTTCTGGAACAGACTTACAATGCAGATGCCAAGGAAGCGAGTGGTCTGATTGGCATTACACTAAACCCTGCTGCACGGATGAAATTGGTTTACACGAAACCCATCACTGCTGCTGTCTCTGCAGAGTTGAAATCGATGCTACATCTTCATTCATCCAGCCTTCACCATGAATCTGGTGTAAGTCGAGTCACAGGGGATGCAGAGATGGTGATCAAGGTAATGGCAGCAGTCGAGACGAATCCATTCAGTGCAACCACAACATCTCTGATAAATATAGCAACTGGGCAATGCGCTGATTGCAACGTTAAGGACAACATTACCAGTGTGAAAAAACTGGGTCTGGAGGCACTCTCTCGGTCACTGACCAGTGATCAGAAGAAGACAAGTATTGTGAAGCTGAACACCTTCCACACACAAAACAAGAAACCGAAGACGTCTGCGGCTAAAACAGCTGCATCGGAAAAGAGTAATGAAATAACTGCCCTTCTGCGTATGACACAGATCATTGCCAGTGGTGGAGAACTAGACATTGTTGACTTCATAGGGAACCATGAATGCAGTGACTACNCATAGGAACCATTGAAGTGCAGTGACTACCCACCATCTCTCTTCCGGATGCATAGACGGAATGAGAACAGGTACCAAGTCAAGCCTAGTTAAAACCCTGAAAGAGGAGACCAAATGACCAGCACTCCTGCTCTGCCCCAACAGCACAGAAAGCACAGCAGTAGTCATTTGATGCCATGGTATTGCATTGACACTGGTCCTTTCCACAAAGGGTGAAAGATTTGGGACCATTGCTGAACGATACAAATACCTGCTACTGAATGATGCTGCCTTGCTGGTACTGAGTTCATACACTTCTGCTGTGACAGCGTACAGTGGACCAAGCCTGAAGGTCCACTGAGCAAGAACACAAGGTATGCCGGATCAAACCTGCCAAAGAATATGAAGTCACTGATCATTTACACAGCTCCTGAGCCACAAGAATTCTTTGCGAGTGGCAGCAAATAAGCTAACCTCCTAAACTTCCTCTGTGAGAAATGGATGTGAGAATAAGCATCTGGACCCTGCTGTTGGTCAACTCATCTCTACCTGGGGTGGTGGATTCACAGAAGAAACGAAGAGCGTATCATTAATAATAAGAGAGTCTGTTATGGATGTTCCTGCTCTAGAATCGACGCAGAAGAGAGGCTGATACAAGGATAATCCTGCACACTCTGTACAGTGTCCAGAATGACGGAGTTGAAAGAGTAGTTATCCACGCCAATGACACAGACATTATTACCATGTGTCTACACTATGGAGCAACACACCTGAGCAGATCTACCAGAACTATGGGTGAAGGACAGCCCAGAAAGACATACTTACCAATCTCCATGAATGTGGTGACATGGGAATTCACAATGTCGTGCAATGCCCTTCATTCACATTCATAGCCTGAGTGGCAGAGAAACTACGGGTTATCCTTACTTCACCGGCAAGAAGGCATGGTTCAAGTGCAGCTTGAGTCTCGACATACCCATGATTGAAGAGTTTGGTGAGAACCCTACTGACATCGTATCAGAAGACCTCCTCAAGCAGGCAAGGACCATCACCACATCTGTTTACACATCAGTGGCTGATGACTTCCAGGAGTTTGATCTGGGCAAGCTCAGGGCATACAAGTTTTTGAACAACAGATCTACTCTCCTAAAGCTCTTGCCCCCCACAGAAGACGCATTCCTTCTGCACGTAAAGAGGGCTGCCCTTGCAACGATCATAGATAAGACTGCGCACATTGCCAAGCCACAAATCCCACCCTGGACAGAATTTGGGTGGACTCTGGATGGTCAGCATGTGGTTCCCGTTCCATGTACGCACCCAGCCTGTCATGTGTCGATGAAGAAGGCAATATCGTGCGGATGTGCTAAGGGGTGCAATAAGAACTGCTCATGTGCTAAGAATTAATTCCCATGCTACATAGGGTGCCACTGCCAAGGACTATCAATCAAATGTAGCAGGATGCAGGACATCGGAACAACCGAGGTTAGTGACAGTAGCAGCGACTCAGATAGTGATTCGGAAGAAAAGCCGATGCAAGTTAAACGTATAGTAAAGTGTTAACTTTGGAGCAATATAACTTGTTTGTTAGAAAAGCAATGAACTTGTCCTGTTTACACACTATTGACTATACATATGGGCAGTTTACTCGAAAGTTTCAATTCTTTAGTGAAAAGGATTTTTGCAATATGGAGAAAAATGTATTTTGGTGCAATTCATATTTTGTAAAAAAAATTGTCAAAAATCATATTTTTGGCCAAAAATTGTTATGCAAATCATCATCAGGCCCATTAAATGTGGTATCATCTTTTAGGGAATTTCATTCCCTTTAATATGATACCACACACATGGTGAGAGGAGGTTCTATTCAAACATTATCATCAAAATTGGTCAACATTAGTTAGACATAGTGGCCATTTTGAAAAAAATGGCCGCCATTTTTTTCCAGCAGCATATTTTTAGGGTAGTCCACCTCGAAGTTGATCAGGGAGTGTAGTAGCGTAAAAGCAGTATCTATGTGTATCTATAACTATAGCCTATATCAATGTCCATAGGGGTTTTATAAAGAAAGCCCACTGGCGCTATGCCGTGGCAGTAAGCCAATTACGAGCACGCAGGCTGGCACGCGTCCATTACTGGGTCGATGCCATGTGTATAGCATCGACGTCCTAACAATAATCGATTTGCAGTCACCGGCTCTACTAGGTCAGCACGTGCCGCGACTCCATAAGGAAGTCGTGCAAACAGTGCCCGTGTTTATGTACTTGAGTTAGTTAGGGTCCGCGTTTCTCCCTAGAAGTCAACGAGGCACGAGTGGCTGTAATCAGCTGGTCTTGTTCGTGTCGACATAGTGGGACCGGCTGGTTTGTGATCCTCGTGCGAGAGCGCACGAGTGGCTGTAATCAGCTGGTCTTGTTCGTGTCGACATGGTAGAGCCAGCTGATACGTGCTCCTCGTGCGGGAGTGCGCGGGTCGAGGTAATTGAGCTGTAATTGAGCTGGCTAGTTCGCGATGCCCTAACGAGGGCTTGTGTGTATGTAATCGGTCGAGCTGGGAAGGCCACGCTTCTCGCTCGGCACTTCAATGGAGCCCTAACGAGGGCCTGTGTATATGTAATCGGTTGAGCTGGGAAGGCCGCGCTTCTCGCACGGTAGTTGAATAGGGCCCTAACGAGGGCTTGTGTCTATGTAATGTCGCAGTAGTATAGATGGCGCACGGGTGACGCATGCGGGCGCGGTCGTGGCTGCGTATATAAGCCGAGAGCCGGGGAGAATCGAGGAATTCGGCTTCACACCCAGGCACTCACAGTCACGACCGCGACCACGGCTGTAATCGTACTCAAATCAATAGTAAACGTCAAAACATGGTAACAACTGGCTTTTTCTTCTTTATGGCTCTGACTTAACATTGAAGCATTATTACGGGGACAGCTACCAGCATCAATGAGGGCCGTAAGTGAAAGTGAGCCGGCTTTAACACTGCACATCGGCGCAGAAGATGTAGTGTTAGTCGGAGATCCGCGCGCGGCAGATGCGAACCCATGGACGTCACTACCATACAACGCCCTACCCCATCCGATCTCATTCGAGAGGTGCGCAGCCTGCGTACGTTCATTACACATGCCATGCCACGTGCCCCGTCCCCCTTGACGAATCAGTCCCCTCAAACCATAACACGACAACCCCCACGCCTACAACGTTCACAAGTGCTCGAACTCAACGACGGCTCACCACGATCACGCCCCCGGCGACCCCCCATCACAGGACGCGACCAGCGTCCACCCGTTCATAACAACACTTACTTGCCAGCTGTTTCGCGCCAGCGCGACGCATTTCAAACTCCAGCCGCTGCGGCTACCGGCACTCAATGCGATAATCGTTGTTATGCATGCGGCCAACCAGGTCACTACGCGCGTGACTGCCCCCTCCGCGACCGATTAGAGGATTTTCGGCAGCGCCCTCGCAATGCAATTGCACCGCCGTACCCCCGCAACTTCTAAGCCCGCACGCATCTGCTGCACGCGGATCACCGACTATCACTACATCTTCTGCGCCGAAGTGCAGTGTTAAAGTCGGCTCACTTTCACTTACGGCCCTCATTGATACTGGTAGCGATTGTACGCTTATCGATCTTGCTGCATGGCTGCATTTACCCCAGCACATACGGGCGGCTGCTAGTTTCAACGCCGTCTGCGCATCAGACGCCATGCTTCTTTCGGTCACAGGCGATAAGCTACACCTTGTAGGCACCGCCACTTTGCGCATTTTACTGGGACGAGTAACCACCCTTCATACCTGCTACGTGGTTCAGGATTTAAGGCAGCAGTTCATAATCGGAGCCGACTTTCTATCAGCCAACCGAGTAAACATTGACTTCGACCGTGGAGTGCTCGCACTAGGTAATAGTGTGGTCATTTTAAAACTTCGTCAAGGTAAACGATGCCTCCCCATCCCTCAACTCGCTTTCATTGACCGTTCCATCGTGTTGCCCCCCCCCATTCAGGCCAACAGTGTTCCTGTCGCGTTCCCCGCCATTTTCGCCAAGGTACGCTACTCTTCGTTCAAGGATCCCCAGCTTTTAAAATGTTCCGTAGTAACCCCCACCTAATCTCATTACCATCCCTGGTCGAAGTCACCGCGCAACACACAATTCTCTGCTGGCTAGAAAATAGGTCAGATCGCGCAATATCATTACCTCATAATGCCGTTGTCGCCATAGTTGAAGCCACCTCCCCTCCCCATATCCGGGTTATTACGCCCGCGCCCAACGAGTTCAACGTGTCACCTCACGATAATGCAACTCCGCCCTTTGATTACAATTCACTGGTAGACCACGTTAAGGATTCTCGCCAGCGAGCAACGCTTCTCAAATTTCTACGCCGACACGACAGTTCATTTGCGCATACAGACGCACAATTAGGGTGCACACACCTCTGTGAATTTCAGATTCATACTGGGGATGCCAAACCATTCAAAACACGACCTTATCGTATGTCCCCGGAGCAGCAAATCATTGTTCAGCAACAGGTTGACAAACTCTTAGACAATGGGATTATACGCCCCTCCATGGCACCTTGATCGTCTGGTGTACTTTTGGTCAAGAAAAAAACTGGCGAGTATCGGATGAGTGTCGATTATCTACGTTTAAATTCAGTTACAGTAGGGGACACCTACCCATTACCAGTCATAGAAGACGTCTTACAAACCATAGGACAAGCCGCATTATTCACTACCCTTGATCTCAAAAGTGGCTACCATCAAAACCCATTAGAGGAGAAGGACGTCCCGAAGAGTTGCTTTGTAACGCCCTCTGGAAGTTATGAACACTTAAGAACACCTTATGGACCGAAAAACGCACCCTCTCATTTTCAGCGTGTCCTCGATTATGTTCTGCAAGGACTCCGCCACCAATGCGCACTAGCTTATATCGACGATGTCTGTATCTATTCCCCGGATTTCGACACCCACATGTCTGACTTAGCCGAGGTTTTTGCCAGATTTGAAGCGGCTAACCTCAAGATGCGACCCAGTAAGTGTACATTTTTGCAGCAGTCCATTAACTACCTGGGTCACGTGATAACCCCTGGTTGCGTGCGACCCGACCCAGAGAAGATCTCTGCGGTGCAAAATTGGGCCCCACCAACCACGCCAACGGCTGTTCGCCAATTCTTGGGTTTTACCAACTACTATCGTAAGTTTATTAAGGGCTATGCCGATATTGCCCACCCATTGACGATCCTCACCAACAAGGACAGACCCTTTGTGTGGTCACGCGAGGCACAGACTGCATTTCAGTCCCTTCGTAAGTGCCTCACTGAGGCTCCCATCTTGGCATTGCCTGATGGAAGTCGACCGTACCGCCTCTATTGCGACGCTTCCGGCTACGCCGTCGGAGGAGTTCTCACGCAAATGGATGAGCGCGAGCGAGAGCACCCAGTGTATTATCTCAGCAAACAGTTGTCTGAGACAGAACAACGCTGGTCTACAATAGAACGCGAATGTTTTGCGCTGGTATACGCGTTACGCAAGTTTCGGCATTACCTCATCGGGGCCGATTTTGTAATCCTTAGCGATCACAAACCACTTAAATACCTGTTAGAGGCTAAGGCCCTGCGCAACGCTAAACTCCAGCGGTGGGCCCTCTACGTTTCTGGTTTTCCCTCATGCCGACTGGAATACACGTCGGGTAAGCGGACGCGCTTTCTCGTTTGCCTCCCGAGTCGTCTACGCCCATGTCACCGCATGACTCATCAATCACCCCCATCACCGCTCGGCATTATGGCCTCACAACCCATACACCAAGTGGTACTGCCTACGCCCGACGCTGAGGCCTCACAACCCTCACGCCGAGTAGGCCCCATTACACTTCATCACGACCCTCCCCACCCTAACGAACAACCACCTCCTACCCCGACACCCCCTCTATCCCCCCCCTACTGACGCTGAACTCGCTGCCTTGCAGCAGGCCGACCCCCTTCTTTCTCAGATTATACACACACTCTCCAACCCAGATGAAAGTTCCATATGCGAAGCTAAACTCGTTCAAAGCTATCTTCTGGTCGACGACTTGCTCTTTCATGTGACGTCTCGCGCGCAGGATGGTGATGCTGCGCCCCAATTAGTCATTCCCCGTTTTCTCGTACCCGTTGTACTCCCTTTGTTCCACGATCATGCGTATGGTGTCCATCTGGGTTTCAAGAAAGTCTATAGTAAACTGTCCCAGCGATAGTTCTGGCCCCGCATGTTCGCCGACCCTTACCACTACATTAAATCCTGCATCGTGTGTAACTGCCGAAAACTACAGCGAGTCCGTGCCCCCCTACACCATGCTCCGGCACCCAGACACGCAGGAGATGTGGTCGCCATCGATGTTACGGGACCGCACCCCTGCTCAAACTCAGGAAATCGTTACATGCTTACGTTTCTGGATCTTTACACCTCCTGGCCTGAAGCATACCCCATGCCCGATAAAAGCGCTGCTAGCGTAGCACGCATCATTGTAGACGACTTTATCCCTCGTCACTCGTGCCCTCGATCCATCTTAACTGATAATGGAGGCGAATTCATTAACGAGCTCATGGCGCGATTGACGACATCGCTCCGATTCACCCACATGAAGGTCTCTCCCTACCACCCTGAGTCGAACGGACAATGCGAACGCTTTCACCGCACGCTTGCTAACATGCTCGCGTGCTATATTAATCGCGATCATACAGTCTGGGATACAAGGATCAACTCAGTCTTATTTGCATATCATACATCCATCAATGAGTCATCACAATTTACCCCCTTCTTGACGTATGGTAGAGACGCAGAGCTACCACTTGACACGCTACTGCGGCCCAGATGATTGTCCTATGCGGACGATCCAATCACTCACGCTACTGAACGCTTGCACCGAGCATTTGTCGCGATGCAGCGTAACACTAAAGTGGCACGTGCGCGTAATAAATGCCTTTACGATAGGCGCGCGAAAGTTCAATCCTTTGATGTAGGAGACCCCGTCTATTTTTATACTCCCACGTTGTCGGCGAACCAGACGCCGAAATTTGCTTCGCAGCGGCAGTCCTATACCGTGGTCGAGAAACTCCACTGCGACTTCGTATTCGGGCGCAAGGCCAAACACGTACTCGCATCGCTCATGTGAGTAATCTTAGACCCGCATACCCATTCTCGGCATGGGATGCACCTAGGTCCGTGCTCACGGGTCAAGAAGGCCCAGCCCGACGACCAATGCGTCACGCAACGCTGGTTGACACAGGGCCTCCTTCGCCGCCCCCACACGATGACACGCATCCAGCCAGTGTGGCTAGCACGCCAAGCACTGATAGCTGGGATGCAGACGATTTAGTGCCACTTGCGCAATATAGCCGCACAAATTAGCCAGTAGCGCTGAAGTGCGATGTAAACACGACGCTCATATGCGTCACTCCTCTGTTTCAGGATGATTACTGTTACCACGGTCGCCCTGCTCGTAGTTGCCTCGACGATCCTCTCCGCCTCGCAAGCTACTGATGTCAGGAGACCCACAATGGGAGTAGTTTTTATCCCGAGAGGTCACATCGCGGTCACACAAAGTACCTGGGGCATAGGTTTTACCCTCAATTTCACATCAATTCAGACTTACCTAGACTCGTTGCACAAAGATGTGCGCAGGATGTATAAATCACAACCAGCGGCAGCCCCATACTCCCCATCCCCCTCCCCTGACGATGAATACTTCGCAGCCTTAAACCGTGACATCAGATCCCTCGTGCAGGCCCATATGGCATGGTTTCGCCAACGCTTGCAAACACTTAATCTCTGCTGCACTCGTTGCATAAATCAAGAGAGAAACGCGCTATAATTGGCGGCCTTGTTAACTTGCAAAATTTTTATTCGGTACGGCTACCGATGATGACATTGAGCAACTGCAATGGCAGTTATCTGCATTAGGTACGACACAGGAACGAATTTTGACTGTAATTAACGTATCCTCAGACATCGGTTCGATTTCGTTGCAGGTCAGAATGCGGAACGCCCTCGTCGAAAAGAAGGTTCGCGAGGCAGGAGTGCGAGCTGTTTGACGTAACGGACGTACCGGGCGTGCTTCTGGAGTGTGACGAGGCCAAGTCCGACGATGAGATCGGTTCGGGTGAGCATAGTAGGACTGTCGTGGGATGATGTGTGGCTGGCTGGTTGTATAGGGCACAAGCTGGGTTTATTACACCACGTTTAAAAACCTATTTTTTTCTTCGATACATGGCACCACTATGTATATACACTGTAAGTGCTTATAGCCTGAAAACAAAATTATACATTTGTTTTATTGTTATTGTTTATAATATATATTGTTCTCAGCTTACCTACCTGTATATTTATTAATGTATATATAACGGTGGTGCAGAACACGTTAGAGCGATCAACCCTTTAGAAATTGGATACATGATATCTGGCTCCCACGCGTTAGCAGCTCGCGATAGCTTAACGAAAGCGCGAAAACGGCATCTCGTTTTGCGTTCTGCCAGGCGGAGGAGCGTACGCGGGAGGAGCGGCAGCGATCAGGTCTTGCTGTCAGGAAGCCTACGTGCCGGGCATCTACGGAGACGCATGCGCGCCGCGCGTCACTACTCCCGCGCTCATCGACCACGACTACATCTACAACGCATGCTGCACTGACGTCGCTAATGTCGTCGCCGTGCCGACGTCTCCCGGAGAGTTTAAGATGCAGGCGGTGGTAGAGGGCGCCGCTTACGTCGGTGCGGTGGCGGAGAACGAAGTGTCGAGGGTTAAGGACGATCGACCAGCGTCCGACAGCGACACAGAGACGGCCGAGGAAGCAGACGGGGGCCCCGTGGTAGGTTCGGACGTCGAAGAGGAAGCCAGGGAAGCTTCAGACGTCGAAGAGAAACTCGACTCTGACTCGGCGCTACTCGAGGAGTTGCTTCGCGAGCAGGAGAGCGAGCCGACGACGGAGAAGTGGCAGCAGCGGCACCCGAGGAGTGCATCCAGTAAGGTGCAGAGCTTCATACAGCGCAACCACGCGGTGTCCGACGACGCTGGCAGCAGCGACGACGAGTGGATGCCGTCAGGTGACAATTCACACGGCGCGGCCCCGAAGCGTGGTGGCCGCCCGCCGGGCAACGACCCGGACGCCGCGGCCCCGAAGCGTCGCGGCCCGCGGCCACGACGTCTCTCACACGAGAACTCGCTGGTCGCCGCGTGCCCCCGCTGCCGCGCGATCCTACTGCGCACCGACCTTCAAAACCACGAGCGCGAGTGCGGCCATGACGGCAGCAGCGGCGGCGCCGCCTACATCTGTGAGTACTGCGCGAAGACGTTCTCGGTGCGCAGCCATCTTTCTACGCACATCCGCAACCAGCACAGGAAGCGGGCGTGCGTCTGCGAGCAGTGCGGTGTCGTCTCTGCCTCCACCATGGCGCTGTACGCGCACAAGATGTCGTGGCACGGTGAGCGGCGGATCGCGTGCTCCGCGTGCGACCGCCGCTTCTTATCACCCTTCGCGCTGCGTAAGCACGCACGGCGCCACGACGCGCACCGCCCCCGCACGTTCTCGTGCTCTTACGCTGGCTGCCGGCGCGCGTTCTACGAGGCGAAGCACCTCGAGGTGCACATGCTGCGGCACACCGATGAGAAGCCGCTGCAGTGCCGGCACTGCGACTTCGTCTGCCGCCAGCGAAACTCCATCAACTACCACGTGAGCAAGTACCATCCCGACAAGGCGCCGCACAAGTAGGGGGCGCTGTGATCCCTGCGAGGTCACCGGGGGGAGGGGGTATTGCCACTAGGGGGCGTCACCGAGTGTCTGGGGTTTTGGCTGCTGCGTCTGTCTTCTTGTGCATGTACTACTTTTATACTTGTATCTTGTAATGTACACCAAGATGTGTGATGTGTTTGCAAGGTTTTTATTTACGAATTTTGTAATTTTACCTTTGGTTGTATGTTAGTAGTTCTGTTGGTTGCAATGTATATACGTACATATATATATATATATATACTATATATAAAGTGTTGTGAGTATACATAGTCATATATATATACGACTATATATACTCACAACACACACACCTCTCTCTCTCTCTCTGTATATATATATATATATATATATATATATATATATATATGAACTACGATGTAGTCCGATTGTACATGTGTAATTATGTATAATTATGTATAAAAATTTATTCCAGTAATGTAGCATTTGTTTGCAATAGTTCGTTTGTAGCAAGAATTCCTCTTTTGCTATGATGCCTCTTGTTATGGTTACATACCTAACCTATTGTATGGCACCAAACTGTACATATGAGAAATTAGTAATTACTATTTGAAAAGAAATCTGTAGAAGGAATAATGACCGATTTATAAGGAGGTAGTTCTTGCAATACTTGGGTTAAAGGCGAGTAGATGGCAAATGGCCATAAGAAGCATTAAGAAACTACCTACGCACACATTGTTATCGTCATCTGTCGAGTTACCCAAAGAATGTTACAAGAAAGGATAAAAAAGATTATAAATCTAACTAAACAGATTATAAGTTACCTCATGTTATTATAAACAGATGTGTTTTTATCGTTATCTTTAATTTAGTGTTGTGATGTGTGAGTCTGGGAGGAGTGCAAAATAGCATGAGTCACTGAAAGAGAGATGATATATATCAGGAGTAAGTAGTCTCAAATTTGAGATTATTTGCTCCTGATATCTCATATATATATATATATATATATATACCTTGGCTTTTATGGCATTGTCACTAGTCTATACTAATCGTTACTTTTCCATAGTATCAAGTATGTTGTTGCTCGGTCAGGAGCCCGAGAGAGCTGACTGCGACGAATTATGGCCTGATGAATAACAACATTCCGTAACGGACTGAAGGCCGTTCTCACTCGCGTGATATCCTGCTTTATTATTTTATTGCCGATTTTTACTCCCCTAGGCCATAATGAAATTACTGTTTGTTTGCCCTCACACTACCGAAAAGGGCCGACTCAAAATTTTTTATTGATCTTTCCCATTCTTTGTATCACTCACTGTACATTATATAAATCTATAGGCAATACATTATATGTAATGTACCAAGCAAAACAAACATTCAACATAAAAGGTATCTCCATAAGCTCACCCGAGAATGTAGACACCATGCTGAATTTGTAAAAAAAAAGCCTACCTACCCAGATAGCATGCGGACGTTGGGCCAACGTTGGGCCAACGTTGGGCCAACGGCTGTCTTCAGCTCATGCTAACGTTGGGCCAACGTTGGCTGCC